TTAATTTTATCAAGAAACAAATAGCAATGAGACAGTTTCAAATCAGGTTAGTAGGACAGTTACAATAATTAATACATTGCATATTGTTGTCTTTGTAATCAGAGAAGGTGTCAGGTGTGGTGTGCAAAGCTTTCCAAGACTGTAGATAGAGGGAAAGAGGAAAGGAGGCTGATGCCCTGAAGGACCACAAAGGAGGAAGCCGGCCATTCCCTGGGGAGCTGCCCACTGGGGATATAGGACAGTCAGAAGAGTGACAAGAGGGCCATCTCCTGGTGTTCTGGGCATCAGAAATTCCACCATCTTTTCAGCGTACATTAAAAGGACCTCGCAACTGCCACCCTTCCCCAGAGGTCTGTCTCATACCCACACCACTGGGGTACGAAGGAGATGAGCTTGTCCTCTGGGGCCCGCCACCCCCAAGATTTCCCCAGCTCTACTCTGATGGTGCAGAGAAGCAGAGAAGGTGAGAAAACCCTTGTGTTTTCCATTTACCTCCATGTAAAGTAAGCACACTTCTTCAAACTCCCTGTGCCCTGTCATCTCCAGGGGTGCCCAAGTTGAGCCGTCTGAGGCCCAGAAATGAACACATGGGTTTAGATTGATGCAGCACTTTGGAGGCTGGAGAAGTAGCCTTCCTAGTGTGCATGAGGCCCCAGGCTCTACCTCTACCACTGAAAAAAAAACAAAAAACAAAAGGGCGGGGGAGGGAGAGTGTGGTGGCTTGGCACATCTGCTATCACACACACAGCCAGCCCCACCCACCCCTCCTTGCAGAGGACCCCTGTGAGGTGGACTGTTCCCTTCCCTGCTCATGCACAGCAGTGAAAGCTGCCCAAAGCCTGTGTCCAGCCTCCCCACTCCCTTGGTATTTGTTCATTGGCTTGCTGGCTCGTTTTTCCTGTGCTGGGCTTTGAACTCAGGGCCTTGCACGTGCTCGGCAAGCACTGTACAACTGAGCTGCCCCTCGGCCCTCTCCATGCCTTCCCTCAGCTTCTCAACTGCCCCTTCTTCCCTCCTGATCGCCACCTTGGCCCTAACTGGCAGCTACTAATACTCCCTGCTGCCTCCCGGGTTTCTCCAGCTCTCTCCTTTCCCGAGCTGACACCTCCCCGACTCCCAAGTCCAAACCCACTAAAGCACCATGATGGGGGGACTGGTTGGCCAGATCTGCCCAGGCCCTCACCCCAAATTGATATGAAAGCCACAGGGGCTGGCTATTTTCAGTGAATCACACAGACAAGCTGGTGGTAAAGGAAGGAGGAGGCAGCTTTGCCAACTCCCTCATGCCAGGGAGCGTGCTATGGAAAGAGGAAAAAGGGTCAGGATAGAGCTCCGAAGTCACACTGGATTTCCCGATAGACACAGATTAATCATTCTATACTTAAACTTACCCTCTTTTTTTTTTTTTTTTTTTTGGTGGAACTGGGTATTGAACTCAGGCCCTTGCGCTTGCTGAGGAAGCGCTTATTCCACTGAGCCATCTCCCTGGCCCCCAGACTGGATTTCCTATCCCAGAGCTGCAGGGAAACAAAGCGAACAGTCACCAGGTCTCTAAAAGAAAAGAAGTTTTTCCTAGAACTTAGTAAAACAGTTAATTTTTGGTGCATGGGCCCGCCAGATAGCTCAGTGGATTAAAGCACCTGCTTAGGCAGACACAGGGGCTGGGAATTCTATCCCCAGCCTACTGTGCCGGCCCCGCTGCTGGGGTGTGCTGAGACTATGATTGAGACTGAGCATGGTGGTGCATGCCTATAATCCTAGTGCTTGGAGGTTGAAAAACAGGATCACTACAAGTCCCACCTGTGTAGTGAGACCTTGTAGACACTGTACTAAATATATACACACATACACACATAAAAAATAAATTAAAAATAATTTTTGGTGCATGTTGACTTCATGCCAGTCACTTTGTCAAGTGCTTTATCTGTGTTCAGTACCTTCAGGAATGTCACAAGGCAGCTATAAGATCACTGTTTTGCTAACCAGGATATGAAGACTTAAGAATCATAGTTCAAGACCATACAGAAATATTCAAATTCAGGGTTGGGTAGATAGCTCAGTGGTCTAAGCACTTGCCTGGTAGGTGCAAGGTCCTGAGTCTGATCCCTACTAATGTATGCCATGCAGCCAGACCCTGCAACAACTGAATGAAGATTTAAAAAAAAAAAATTTTAATTCAGGCCTGACTGAGGCATTCCACCTTGTCCCATGTCTCACTGCCTGTCCCCATGTACAAATAATGTTGAGTGGTGAAAGGCCTCTCATCTGGGGCTCTTAAGGTACACCCCAACACACAGGCCACAGAGAGGGGCTGCTGTGTGCAGGCTCCCCAGCTGCCAGGAAGGAATATCTCTGTGATTCTGCTTCTCCTTTCCTTCCCTCCTTCCTCACTCTCCCGCAAATGTCCCCTTCCTGAGGCACCAGCTCAACCTGTGGAGGACCAAGAGCAAAGGAGAACACTGACCTCCCTAACAGGGCCTGCTCAGAATTCTAAAGGAGCAGGTGGCCCCTCTCCCAGAAGGGCCCGCGTTGTGGCCGGTTCCTGGCATCCGCAGGTAAGAGGAGCTTGCCAGCTGCTCTCCTGCCTGCCCCAGGGTAGCTTGTCTCATTCTGTCCTCTACCCCCATCCCTCCCAGAATCCAGGCCACCAGATGGCCCAAGCAGGCTGTGTTTATCTGGGGCCATGGAAATCTGCAGCTTCCTACTCGTGTGGCTCCGGGTCAGGCGCAGGCTGCAGCCCAGCCTGAGAGCAAAGATGACAGGGAGAAACTCGGACTCCTGACTCATACCCCTCAGCCTGAGTGACTGCCTGGTTTTGCTTCGCTGAGCAGCTTCTTCCAGTCACCATGGAGACGTTTCTCTTCTGGGATCTTGGGACCAAGTCAGCCAGGGAGGTACCCAGGGGACTCTCCTTGCAGCCTACAGCCCGAAACGAGTATGGCAGTTGCCAGCCCTTCCCAGTTCCAGCTTACAAAGAGAATAAAATGGTTTATTCGCTCAGTGATGCTGAGGGGGTAAGGCTCGACTCCATGACAATTTCCTATTTCATCAGCTAGGACCCCTCAGGGGATATTTAAAATATCCCAGGGGCATATTTTTCCTAGGTAATTATGGCTTTTCCTAAAAATAGAACGCTTTATTAAGAAACCACAGGTATTACTAACGATCACTACCCTTTACTGAGTTGTTTTCTCTGTAAAAGAGGAGACGGGTTGGGGTCCAGGTTTGAAATGTTTTCTTCTGCGATCTGCCTCCTCTCCTGCGATGGGGGCTCGTGCTGGAGTCGGGGGGCGTTTACAGGCCCCCCGTGTAGGAAGCCCGGGAGCCCGGACTTGGCTCCCCACCTCTCTACCTGCACTCAACTTTCAAAAACACATTCCCACATAATTCATTTGATCAGTATTTGCGGACAACAACGTGCCAGTGCTTTTCTGGAACTTACATTCCAGCTAGAAGACTGGCGAATAAATTAGAAAAACCAGATTCGTGAGGTGGGCGTGGTGGTGCACGCCTAGTAACGCCAGGACTTGGGAGGCTGAGGCAGGAGCATCACTGTAAGTTCCAGGCTAACCCGGGGTTACACAGCTAACTTCTTAGCCAGCCTGATCTACGTTAACAAGGCTCTGGTTTTTATTATTATTGTTTTTTTAATCGTGAATTTAAAAATAAAGGGTAAAGCAAAGTATTAAAAAGAGGACGTGGGGTGCAGGGCAGAAGAGTGTGAAGTAACCAAAACCGGGAAGAGAAGACCGCAATGGTGCGTTTGATTTGATTGTTGAGAGTCCAGGCGGGAGGGAACCGACAGAAAGGAAAAGAAGTGATGTCTTTAAACTGCACGGAATCCAGGCTTCCTTTTCCTGACAGGTTCCCAGCTTGGCCTTCCAGAGACGGGAAATCCTCGAGTCAGGCTGGGAGGAGCCTCGTCCGCCGGCTCGCGAAGGCGGAACCTAAAAGCCGCGCGGAACCAAACAACGGAGAGAGATGTGACCTTGCGGAACCGGAGAGGAAGAGCACACCGGAAGCGACCTCAAAATCCAACATGGCAGCTACTTGGTTCCTACGCTGCCCCTGGAGGAGAGTCGGAGCTCAACTGCTTCCGTTGCCCGCATGCTGCCCTCGCCGAGCTCTGCACAAGCAAGTAGACGGCACCGAGTTCCACAGCATCTATAGTCTGGACAAGCTCTACCCAGAGTCTAAGGGCTCGGACATCGCCTGGAAAATTCCGGTGAGCCGGAAAAAACAGGGCGGAAGGGGCGTTTCCTCCCGTTGCTAGGTGACGTCAGGAAGCCGGGGCTCCATTGGCTCGTGGTGGAGCGACGTGGAGGCTCGCTACTGGCAGCTGTGGCGGGAGAGGGCTGGAATTGAAAGCTTGTGTGGCGTTTGGTGTGCGGGCACCGGGAGGTTCTGGTAGATGAGCGTCTTTCAACCTCAGCAGCTTTTCTGCTTGTGTTTCCTCGTCCTCACTCCCTCCCCGCCCAAATGCTTGTCCCAAGGGAGAATGTGGACGTTCTGGTCCTGCAGAGTGGACGGTAGAGGCCAGAGCCTGGTACACTGCTACACCTGGCGCGTTACACGGTCTGCTGCCTCTGCTGACCGCAGCGGGCCTGAAAAACAGGGTTTCTCGTTCATTCTTTCAAGATACAGTTCTTTAGCTCGTTGTAAGCAGACACTGCCTCGGGCCACAAGGAAGGGGCCAGAACCCACCGGTTCTATTGACCTTGCGCCTATAGGACTGGAGGAAAGTACTGTGTTCATCCACTCATTCGACAAGGTTTCTTTGGTATTGTTTTATTTTTAAAGCAAGTTCTTGCCCTCTATGGTTCTGCACAACTTATCCCAGCAGGGGAGGCTGGTAGGAGGATTGCCATGAGTTCGAGGCTAGCCTGGGCTACATAAATGAGACCCTGTCTGAGAAAAACAGAAAAGGGGAAGAAAAAAAAAAAAAAGGTTCTCTCTTTGTAACACAGGCTGTTCTAGATCTCACGATCTTTTTGGCCCTAGACTCTTCCCAGGTGCTGAAGGACAGCCTGTGCCACCACACCCATCTTAACCAATTTTTGGGAGGAATGATTTTGTGTTTGTTATCCTAGACTACTGCATAGAGTATCTAATGCAAAACTAAAATATGGACCTTGTAGTCTGCTGGAAGGAGACAGGCAGCAGTAAGTAATATAGAATGTGTAAGATGATACTTCAGAGAAAATAAAGTCCAAAAGGACAGAGTGCTAGAAGCAGAGTATAGAGTTGTAACGTAGAATGGTCTGGGAAGGCCTCGGAGGAGAGGTGACCGCAGTATAGACCAAGAAGCAGCAAGACATGAGGAGACTAGGGAGGCAAACATCCAGGTGAGGGAACACCCAAGTGGGCATCCTCAGGACAGTAACATAGTGGACTGGCTCAGGAGAAACTGAAGGAGAGGTGGACTGAGAAAGGATTGTCGTGGAGAGGCTTACTGGTCTCTAACTTCCTCCAACTACAGTGGGGACCAATTGGAAGATTGGAGACAGAAAATGGAATAATGCAAGCTATAAGAATCAGTGTGTGTGTGTGTGTGTGTGTGTGTGTGTGTGTGTCAGAGACTCACATGGTGTAGGTCGACCTTGAACTCATTGTGTAGCCCAAGCAGGCCTTGAGTTCATGGTAATTCCACTGTCTCAGCCTTCAGAGTACAGAGATTATAGGTGTGACCCACAACACCTAGCAGGATCATTCTTACAGAACTTGGAGGACTAGAAGTGCAGACCAGCAAGTTAAAAGACTGCAATAATGCAGGAAAGAGAGGATAAACAGGGTGGAATCAATATTTCTTGGAATCGGTCAGATCTTAGATTTTGAGGGAAAGCCTACAGGATTTTCTAATGGTTGGATATGGGAAAAAAAAAAAAAAAGAAGAAGAGAAAAGTAAAGGCTGGGCTCTTGAACACTGAAAAGATTGAGTGGTCATAAATTAAAATGAGAGTGATGAAAACATTCATTTGTTTGTTCATTCGTTAAACAAAAGTGTATTGTGTACCTGCTGTCAGGCACTTTCAAGCATAGCAGGTACCACAGCCATAATTGGCAAAACAGATGGGATTCTTGCTTCCTGGAGTTTACACTAGAGGGAGGGGCTTTTACTTAACAAAGAGGGAAAACATAAAATAGTGAGAAGTCATTATGTTAGTGGGGACACTGCCAGAGGCTTGAAACTGCATCCCTACTCTCTGGGCTCACTGGCCTCAGTACAAAAAAAATTCCCATTAAAATGGAAAAATGTAGGCAGATAATCCATCTTTTCCTGAATGCACAGAAGCAGTTTGACTTATCAGAAGGCTAAGACAAAAGCCAAGAAAAGACTGTATATATTTGTCCCCAGCTAAGTCCAAGGAGATCCCCCAAATAGGGCTTTTTTTTTTTTTTTTTTTTTTTTAATATGGGATTTAAGCCCAGTGCCTTGGCACAGAGTTATATCCCAGATCTTTGAAAATGTTTTTATTTTGAGATAAGGTCTTGCTAAGTCACTAAGTTTCAAATGAGATGGGGACCTCAACCCGGCCTGCTAAGTAGGTTCTTAACATACGTCGTTGGAAAAGGATTTCAGGACATGCCACTGTGGCCTAGGCCGATTGATTAGGTAGAGTTAAAAAGTAAGAAAGAACAGGAAAAGGACTCTAGCTTGAGTAGCTGGAGGGGACACACCCTGCTGTAGAGGTCCAGTTGGGCGCACTCACAAAAGGACAGGCCAGCTTCCGTGGATTCGCTGATAAGTCAGTCTCAGCTGTGGTTTGTAACTCTGGAGATCCCCATACACAGGATAGCTGCTCCTGCTTGGGAGGTGATGTCACCACGAGAGGGCTGCACAGCTCTGCTCTTCCTGGATTTCTAGGTCATTGCAGAGTTGGGGACGTCCAGGCATTGCTCCAGAAACTCTGGAATCGGGCAGGAAAAGCTGGCAATTGGGTGTCCCTACAAACTGAAGATTATTTAGTCACTCTTTTCGGTGTTCTCTGTCTTGAAGGGATGTGGGATAGACTACATAAATTTAGGATTAATAAACCTTACAATATAGACGTTCCTTCTTAAATGATTAGCACAGCTGTGTGCAGAGCCCAGAGCCCAAACTCTGGCCCAGAGTTTGAAGATAATAAGGGAAAAAAGAATTGAGTTTCCCTAGCTCCTTGTTACCTACCTTTATTTCTTCTATCCTACCTTAGATTCAGCTAGGCTTTGGTCCAGAAAATTGTTGAAAGTCTGGTTCTGTTGAAACTTTCTTGACACCACACCTGGAGGTAACAGTTGTTGTGGTCTGCATGAGGGAGCTGGACAAATAGCTTAACTTTCAAAATCCTGATTTTGAAAGTTCCAATTTGGGTTCATGGTTTTCATGTAATGAATCGACCAAGATACTATGCTAGTGAGTACTTGGGGCTACCTCAGATCACTAGTAAGGGGAGTCCCCTTGAGGAGACCTGAAGTTCAAGGCATCCAGTAAGCCGATGAAGGGTGACGTGAAGTAACAACTTGGTACGTGGGACAAGTTGAGGAAAGAGGTTTGAGCTTGAACCAGAGGGTGAGGAGTCATTGGCACAGACAGTAGGGAAAGAAGAGAGACAGAAGAGGAAGGAGTTCAGGAGCACATCAGGTTTAAAGGTTGCAGAGCAGGCTGGAGATGTAGCTAAGTGGTCGAGCATGTCCTTAGCATCTGTAAGGTCCTGGGTTCAATCCACAGCACCAAAACCCATAAATGAAAATAAAAGTTGCAGAGAGCTGGCAAAGGGGAGTGAGAAAGGCCTAGGCAAAAAGAAGGAAATCTGGAGAAGGTTGCTCAGAGGAAGGGGAAGAGCAAGCTTCGAGGAAGAGGGTGTGGCCTGTGGGCCTCAGAGGTGTAGAAAGATGGACAGGGTGAGGAGTCTACTTCCAAATAATTCTATGATAAATGGGAGGAGAATATCCAGGAAGGGTACAGACACAGGTACTATGAGCTTAGAGGACCAGAAAGCCTCGCAGGGGGCAGTGTTCACTGGGTTCGAAGAACTAGGGTCCAAGGCTAAAGAGCATTGGTACAGATTGCAGTGCTCTGCCTCAGCCTGTGCAGCTCTTGATGGGAAAACCATGAGAGGATGAAGAAAACAAGACAAAAGACAAAGCTGAGGTCAGCTGGAGCCCTCTCTCCTGATGAGAGAAGAGGAGCTGCACACCCACTGTAGAGGCGTTTATAGACTGACAAAGGTAGGTAGCATCGTGAGACACAAGGTTGCCTAGTGACTAATGACTGGAATTGTCTCAGGCAAGGAGCTTTGCTCAGGACAAGGTAGCTTGGTTGCTTTAGGCTCTTTGGCCTTGCTCCCACACATGTAACCAATTTAAAAAAAAAAAAATTTATTGAGTAACAAATAGCAATGAGATAGTTTTAAGATTTTTTTTTTTTTTTTTTTTTTTTTGAGGAACCAGGGATTGAACTCTGGCCCTTGCGCTTGCCAGGGAAGCGCTTATTCCACTGAGCCATCTCCTTGGCCCTCATGTAACCAATTTCTAGCTTTAGCCACTTCCTGCAGTGCTCTGGGAGACAGAGGTGAAAAGGCCTAGAGTGAGTAGCTCAGTGTGACAGGAATCCTCGGAGCAGGTGTCCCAGGCCCTGTTCAAGGCAGGTCGCTTGCAGGTTAGCTGCCTGTGGCCCTGCAAGAGCAGGGCGGCCCAGCATGCGCCTGGCTGCTGGTAGGCAGCAGGTATTGCTTTTGGAGCCTTCCTGACCCATGTGTGCTGCGACTCCCCTGAGCCCCCCAGAGAAGCAGGCCTGTGAGGCCAGCTAAGGCTGCAGTGAGGACAGCTGGAGAAGCCAGTTCTGTTGTTCTGGAGGAGAGTTTCTGTGATGGTATCTCTGAAGGCTGGGCATGTTTTGTTTTGTTTTTTGCAGAAGCAGGAATTGAACTCAGGCCCTTGCGCTTGCCAGGGAAGCGCTTATTCCACTGAGCCATCTCCCCAGCCCCTTGTTTTTTTTTTTTCATCAATGCTGGTATGATGATTTTTCTGGGGACCTGAAAGCAGTAATGTATTACATTTGCATTGTGGCTTTGCACTCTTTTTTGTTGCTCTGGACCAGTTAAGGGTCACCCAGCAGCTGATCTTTTATTTGACACTGTTCGCGTTACATTACAGGATGCTGCGAAACAGGCCAGCAGTGACATCCCTTTAGGTAAGTGATTTTATTTTATTAAATAAGAGTCATTTCTGGCTGGAAGTGTGGCTCAATGATGAACCACTTGCCCAGAGGCATGGAACCCAGGGTTGTGTGCCTAGCAAAAAAAAAAAAAAACAGTCTTTGCCTCTACCCAGCAAATGTTCCTCCTAGATTTCCTCAGCCCAGTTAAAATAAGCCATCTCTGGCTGTGCAAAAGTGCAGTTGTTGCAGCATCTTTTTTTTTTTCCTTTTATGTATTTGGTACAGTGTCTCACTACGCAGCTTGGACTCGTAGTGATCCTCCTGTTTTCAGCCTTCCCAGTACTGGGGTTACAGGTGTGCACCACCACTCCTGGACTTGTTCTCCAGCTCAGCAAGTCCTGGGGATCAAACCCCAGTCACTAAACTTGCCAAAGCAGGTGCTTATTCTGCTGAGCTGTCTCGCCAGCCTGCAGCACTTTTTAGAATACTAAATGAAAGTGTGTTTGTGACCTGCAGCAATCTTTACAATAGATATATTGATTGTTATGGGAAAAGAAGAACACACAGAAGAGTATATCAGCTACCATTTGAGTTTTGTTCATGTGTCTGAAATCTATCTCTATATCGATATACATATATCTGTCTCTATATTTGAAAATATGTATAAAAACCTGGATTCAATATCTGACTTTGGAAGAAGGAGGAGAAGACAAACTTGGGAGCTGGGGACACAAATGGGGCACTTCTCCATGTGAACCATCTGCATACTTTTAGACTTCTGTATCTGTCACTCATCCTGAGGTCTGACAGCTATGGCCCAGAAAGAAGCAGGGAGCCCTTTTGAGACTGAGTTTATAAATCTCATGGACTATGAAAAGGAGGGAGGCTGAAGGCTCCATCTCCCCACGTCCACTCCTCAGCATGACATACAAGCAGAGAGGCCAGAGGTAGCCAGGCGCAGCAGCGCCCATCGGTTATCCCCACATTTGGGAGCCTGAGACCAAAGGATCTCAAGTCTGAACCTTGGCTAGGGAGCTTAGTGAAACCCTGTCTCAAAATTAAAATTTTTAGAAGTGCTGGGGTTTAACTCAGTGTGTACCTCCTGGGTTCAGCCCCTAGTACTACAAATAAAACCATTAAAAAAAAAAAAATGAGTCTGCCATGGATAGCACACCCTGTAGCTACAGAACTGAGGTGGTGCTGAAGGAAAGAAGTTCTGTAGGTTGTCAGTCTGCCCCAGAGGTGGGAGTTGGGGGAGGCAGCAAGCTTCGTGTCACATCTAGCCTGGAGGCAGACCTGTCTCTGCCGGCCCCGCTGTTGGTATATGCAGAAGCCGTGTGGGCAGAGGCCGTGAGCAGCTCCTCTCCAGCAGTGAGTCGGACACAACCTGCCCAGCTGCGGCTTCCGGGCCAAGGGAGTTCCACGTCCACCACACTGTGAAGTACACTAAGCGAAGTCTGTCCTTGGCTTGAACTTTTAGCAAAGTCCTTGCTTTATAACAAACTGCAAAAAGCTTGGGCAGAAGGTATGTGCGAGGCTAGACACAAACAGCTGTGCTGTGATTTTGTATCCTCTGCTGTCAGGGTGGCCTTAGGGAAGTCACCTACTCTGACCTCAGTTTTGACATCTATAAATAATTTCCAGGGTTACAGATCTGAATGTTGCATTGTACGTGTGCACAGCGTGTGTGTGTGTGCGCGCACACGAAAGAAATGAGTAATAGGCATAGTTATGCTGGTAATTAAGGATTGTGCGCTTTTGGCCATAGTGTAATCATTTGTGCGTGTCTGTGTTCGTCTGTTTTATAGATCGCTTGACAATATCTTACTGCCGGAGTAGTGGTCCTGGAGGGCAGAATGTTAACAAAGGTATAGGTACCTTGCTATTTTTTTTTTTTTCTCTTTAAAACTTAGCTGGGGAATAAAAAGAAAAAAAAAAAAACTTAGCTGGGAGATGGGCTTGAGGAAGAAACTGTGTTGCTCCTGGTGTGAAATAAAGGGATTTTTCAGCAGCAGATTGAATGCCGCCAGCTTATAATAACCCTCTTTATTCTCCCTAATGTGGTCTGATTGTCAGGCTCAGCTGTGGGTTGCTAGGTTAGAACTGGCTTGTGAGGCTGAACAAAGAGGAATCAGTGTGAGCTGGGATCCAGCTCCAAGGACAGGTTTCCTTCATTCTCACAGAACTCATTCTGCACGTTCTTAGAACCTAGTAACACCGTAAGGGCAGCCCTGGACTCCCCTGGTTACTGGACATCTCTCTTTGTCCCCAAGAGCCTCATTGTCTTTGCAGCCCTGTGATCAGAACATGCATGGCTAGGTGTCTGTCGTTGCCCCCCCCTCGCCCCCGTGTTTCAGGGCGGTCACTGGTCCCCTGGGTGCTGCACCTTGCTGAGAGCCTCGGTGACCCTGGCTTTCTTCTCCTTCCCCTCCCAGTGAATTCAAAGGCCGAAGTCAGGTTCCACTTGGCAACTGCTGACTGGATTGCAGAACCCGTGCGGCAGAAGATTGCCCTCCTGGTAACCACGCCCGCCTTTCCTTCCCTGTAGGTTTCTCCGGGGCATTTAAACCTTTATTCTGTGGGGCTCCACTTTTTCCTTTGTTCTCTGCAGCATAAGAATAAAATCACTAAGTCAGGAGAGTTGATTTTCACCTCGGAAAGCAGCCGCTATCAATTCCGGAATCTGGCCGATTGCCTGCAGAAAATCCGGGACATGATTGCCGAGGCCAGTCAGCTGCCCAAGGAGCCGTCCAAAGAAGACGCTCGGCTAAAGAGAATCAGGTAGGAGAGAAAGTCCTGGGCTGCCGGAAACCTGTCCTGGCAGCAGTGGTCTGCACAGGTGAGAGCTGAGGCAGAAGAGAGCCCGAGAGCTCCCTGGAGGCAGGCAGGAGCGCTGCAGGGAGGCGGGCACCCTGCCCTGTCAGCACCCGCCGACTGGGCTAGCCGGCTTCCCACTCTGCCGCCTACTGCTAAACGCACCAATTCGGCATCTGGGTCTCACTCCAGTCTTTCTGCTTTCAGGATAGAAAACATGAATCGGGAAAGGCTGAGACAGAAGAGAATAAATGCTGCCGTAAAGACAAGCAGGAGGGTAGATATGGACTGAAATCACCTGTGAGCCAGCAAGGACCTCAGTGCAGGGCCAAGGGCAGCTGGAGCAGTCACGTAACACCATGAGGAGATCTCCTTTTCATTGTTATTTTTGCTGTTTATGCCTGTCTGTGACATTGGAACCCTCACAGAAATGTTCACTTGGAATGAGGGTTGCGGGTCTTCATAGGCGATCACCATATTGTCAAATCCGAGTTACCACTGAATGTATTGTTGCCAGCAATAAACTTCTAAGCCCAGTAGTCTGTTGCTTTTCATTCAGAATGCCTTGGAAGAAAACTGCTGCTTTGCTCAGTTGAAATCTGCCTCACAGCTCCTGCCCCAGTGCTGGCTGACCCAGCAGGCAGACGCCAGAGGGCCCGAGGTCTGCATGCAGGTACACACAGGCCAGAGGGTGAGCTCAGACTGGTGAACATGCATTTGAGCCGGCCTTTGTCCTAGTTACTTTTCTTGTTACTGAGACAAAATACCTGACACCCAAAGTCAAGGAAGGAGAGATCTGAGGGCCGACAAGATAGCTCAGTGGACTAAGCGCCTGCTTAAGGCAAGCTCAGGAACTGGAGTTTGATCCCTGGCACCACATGCCACGCCAGTCCTGCCCCCAGGTACCCTGAGATGCGTGCTGGTACATGCCTATAATCTCAGCACGGGGGAGGCTGAAAACAGGAGGATTGCTACGAGTCTGAGCTGCAGAGTGAGACCTCGTAGCAAATACATTAAAAAAAAAAAAAAAAATTATTGCAGCTCACAGTTTGCAGAGGTTTCAGTCTGTAGTTGGCTGGCTCCAAAGCAGGGTAGCATGGCAGAGTCATCACAGAGGAGAAACAGTTCACGGCAGGCAGAAGGTAGGGAGGCCGCAGTCAGCCTCTCTCTTTTATCCCTCCTCCATTACCTACCTTTTGGCTGTGCCACCCACACCCACGGAGGCCCCACAGTGGCTGACCCATTAGCCACACCCAGAACTGCTCAGTCAGTCAGTGGACTAATTTAGTAATCACACCCTCAAGGCTGGCGTCACCCACCCTAGATGTAGCCACCTCTGAAAGCCCCACCTAAGGTATGGGGTTCTAATCAGTGTGAATGTAGGTGACAGAAAGAGGCTGGGTCACAGGAAGTGATACAGCCAGTGGCACTGAATGGCAGGAGGCTTGCGGGACATAGGCCTTAAAAAGGATGGGGTTTAGGGCTGGGGCAATAGCTCAGTGGTATAAGCACCTGCCTGGCAATCACAAGGTCCTGAGTTTGATCTCTAGTACCAAAAATTAAAAAGGGGTTTAGATTTTACAAAATGCAAATAATGGGGAGCTACTGGGGATTTGAGTGGGAAGGAGTATTGTGTTGGGTGTACACCAGGCAATGGGCCTTAGACGCAGGCAGAACGAAGTGGCATGGGGTGCTGAGGTTTGGCTTTTTTGATTTTACTGTATTTTTTTGGTTGAACTTTTTTAGGGGAGGTTTATTTTGTTTTTGTTTTTGGTGCCAAGGACTGAACCCCAGGCTTCCAGCTTGCTAGGCAAGCATTCTACCGCTGAGCCAAATCCCCAGCCCCGAGGTTTGGCTTTTTGATACTGAAGATTGAACCCAGGACTCCTTTGTAGTGTGCTGCATCCCCCACCCACATACACACCTTTATGTTGGCAGAACTGGGGATTGAACTCAGACTCCTGCCCTTGCCGGGCAAGTGCTTATTCTCTTGAGCCATCTCCCCAGCCCCTAGTTTTGTTCTTGTTTTTGTTTTTTCCACACCTTTTTTTTTTTTTTTTTTTTTTTTTGTAGACAGGCTCTCTCAGTGCTCACTAAAGAAATATTTAATATATAATATACAGACTATAAATACATAAGGATCTACCAGGTAGGCTTACAGTGGCCACCTTCAGAGTCAGCTATGGAAGGGTGTAGACGAACTGTCTGCAAGCTGACCTAAGACTCCAGTCAGTGGTCAGAGGCCTAGAGCTCTCTGTAGTGGCCTGTGTGAGTGGGAATCAGGAGGCCCAGGGGTCTGCTGCAATGGAAGGCTGAACCGTCAGCGCTGGAAGCCAGGGGATGACATCTAAGGCGAAGGTGGACATCCAAGACTGGATGGAGTCCCTCCAAAGAAACGGAAGCCAGCCTTGCTCCCCCGGTCCTCTAGGCTCTGAGCCTGTTGGTTGGTGCCATTCACACCCCGGGGTGGTGGGGTGGTTCTTCTGTCTTCAGTAAGGGCATTTCTCACTCAAATTGACTGCTGTCACTGAATGCCCAAGTGAGCTCAAATTTGTAATCATTCTGTTTCAACCTTCCGGAGCGCTGGTTTATAGATGTGCACCTTCATATTCCGCTCAGGAAGCAATCTTGTCATCCTCTGGGGGTGGGGACAAGCACCCTGGCTGGCATAACATTAGTAGATTACTCTGGTATATATGAATTTCTGGAATGTTTTACGTGACTTTGATCTGTTTCTTTTATTTAACAATTGCTGCATGGTGGTTGTCAAATGTCAGCTAATGAAATATAGTACAGTAGTCCCTTGCTATTTTGCAGTTCAGCTTTGGCAGACTCCCTGTTTGAGTTTTCAAAACATATTCATTGAAATGATTTACGGCGGATTTTTCACTATATTGCAGGATTGTACAGTACAGTACACATAAGTTGTTAAAATTACAAGTTTAGAAAATGGTTAACATTAGAAGTTTTTTAAAAGTGTGGGAAGGGTTTATAAGAGTGTAGGAAGGGTTTATAAAGCCTTGAAATGTACATAAATACTAAAATAAATATAATATCTCTACTTTGCTGATTTTCACTTATCGTGGTGGGGGGGTGGTCTGGAACATAACCAGGGCCTGGGGAGATAGCCCAGTGGCATAAGTTCCTGCCTGGTAAGAATAAGGTCCCGAGTTCCATCCCTGGTACTGCAAAAGAATAAATAAAAAGGCGAGGGACCACTGTCCTGTGTACACTGGAGCCCAGAAAAGGGGAGAAAGTCATTTGCAAGTGACTGTGGCAAAAAAAGAAGGTGTGAAGAATCAACACAGAGCCAGATCAAGCCCATCCTGGCAGAGAACTAACATTCCATCAGATGATAACAGAAGCTTAGAAGAAAAATAGACCCCTGTTGCAGAAGACGACCTAAAGCATAGTAAATGATGTAAGACTGCAGGAGGCAAAGGAATGGCTAGCTCTGGGTAGAGGGTCAGAGATGTACTTGAGGTTCTTCAAATGGGCCCCAAGAAGAGAAGGAGCTGGCCACCCTAGCAAGACAAAGATATGTCACTTGGAGGCACCAGAAGGGCCAAGCGCAAGCCTGGGACAGTTGGGGCAACTCCTAGGCTTTCCTGTGGCTGCTAGTGAGCCACTCCTTCTTCAGAAGAGCCAAATTTAAATGCAAGAGTGGAGACATTTTGTGGCGGAGAGTGAGACAAGGTCTAGCTATATGTTTTCGGCTGGCCTTGATCTCACAGGGATCCTCCTGTCCCAGCTTCCCGGGAATTATAGGGCTGTGCTGCTGCACCAAGATATTTAGATTTCACTCTTACAGAGGCTGTTAGGAGATGACTGACCTGCTCAGAACAAAAGGAGGAAAGACTGCAGGAGAGTGGATAAGGGGTTGGCCAACTGACCCATGTGAGCAGGAAGAGACCGAGCCTGGAACAGGGGCAGTGGCATGCATGCTACTGAACAGTTATGGACTGGAACAGTTTGCCTGTGTGTGACTGGAGGACGGAGGACACTGGGCAGAGGCACCAAGGAATAGCAGGCTTGGGGCTGGCTGGCTGCAGGAGTTTTCTGTGTCAGCCCAGGGAGAGGTGCTGGGCTTATTACAGAAAACAGACCAAACAGGAGCTGAAAGGACACAGAGGTCAGGAAGCAGTTTATTACACTGGTGGGCTTCAAATTAGGAGGATCTCTCTCAAAGAGTCAGACCCGGCCCCCTTCTGGGGGGTTCAGGGCTTTTAAAGGGAAAGTGCAGTAGGAGTTACAAAGGCAGATGTACTGGTTGATATACTGTGTCAACTTGAGAAGTTTAGAAATTCAATTAAGTGACTCAGCAGAGAACCAGGGTTCTTACTTTGTAAACATCCTCATCCTGTGCACCAGGAGGGCATGGAGGTTGTGTGAGCTCTACACTCCCTGGGAGAGAGGCTTGCTGGAAGCTGCAGCTGCTGCCCCTCCCTTTGCTCCTCACTGTTGCCGCTGCCATGAACTGTCGTGTGCCGCTCTGCCTTAGAACCAGCCCAGTGTGGGCTGAAACCTCCTCTCACCACGAGCTAAATCAACCTTTCTTTCCTTAATTTTGGGTATCGGTATTTTGCCCTAACAATGAGCAAAAAGTAACCGAGACAGCAGATTTGGTGCATATGATTGGAGGGTTGGATGAATCGTGAGTTGCTGAGGGAATTTGAACATCTCAAGTGACATCGTAAGGCTATCTGTTATACAAAGCATGGTTATGCAAAGGAAGAAATTTCCTGTTCTATTTCAAGTTACATTGCAAGGTCATCAATTATACAGAGGCAGCAGAGACAGGGGTTACACAAGGGAAGAAATGTTCTGTTATTGGGCCTGGGCAGGCTTTTCTTTAAAAATTGTCATTTCCCCCCTTCAGACCCAGAGTCTTGGAGAAGAGCCCGGGAAAGGGAAGCCACCCGGAGCTCCACCCTCGGAGGCCCGCCTGGGGCTAGGTCGAGTCTTGGGAATAGTTAGGAGCATGGGGAGGGCAGCGGAGGAGAAGCAGAGGCGAGCGCTGGGGGGTTGACCCTGGAGCAGTAGGCCCGCCTGGGAGGCCCTGGGAAGATACTGATGGGAAATGAAGGCACCGGAAAAGCACCCGTATACACAGGGAAATAAGGAGAAGGGAAAGGGGTTGGGGGCAGAGAGTGGAGCCCAGAACGAACACGGGGAAATCGCGAAGACAGCGCTGAGTCTTTGAAGGCTGACTTTACAAAAGATCAGGATTCTTTGGAATCAAACAAAGCCCTGCTGCGGATGAAAGTCAGGAAGCGTCTGTTCTGCTTGGGGAGGTGGCTAGTGACAGGGGGAGGTCAGAGCTCCAGAGGTGGCAGTGTCCGAGCTCCTACACGTGCACAAGCTCATTGCTGCCACCTTCAGACCTGCAGTTACTGCCTGCGTGGCCTTTCCGACATTTCCACGGGGCATCGGAAAGGCAAGAGGCTGGAGCCACACGAGCCACATCAAGTGTTCTCGCTGCCAGGAGAGAGAAGGACGCTTGTACAGACAGCAGCAGGGTCATGTCCCTAAGTCC